ATCCTGTCCTCCCATTGTTCTTTCTAAACACTCCAGTGTTACATAATTTGGGCTAATACCTGAGTTTGTGCGCATTTTGTAAATCTGAGCTGATCAAATAAATAATGTTATATTATTTGAGCATTGTTATGTTTTAATGCAATACTACTAGACATTATTCAGCGCTAAAAAATGAGTTATCAAGATATGAAAAGACACAAAAGAAACAAATACATTTTCCTAAGTGAAGTCAATCTGAAAAGGTTAAATACTGTTGAATGATTCTAACTATATATTGTGGTGGGAAAGACCAAAGTGCTGACAAAAAAAAAGTGGAGGGCTGGAGCGATAGCACAGCAGGTAGGGTGTTTGCCTTGCAACTCGGGTTTGATTCCCAGCATCCCATATGGTCCCCCGAGTACCGCCAGGAATAATTCCTGAGTGCAGATCCAGGAGTAACCCCTGAGCATTGTCAGGTGTGACCCAAAAAGCAAAAAAAAAAAAAAAGTGGTTAGGATTGCTAGGATAACTCAATAATAAAAGCATCTGCCGGGCCAGAGTGATAGTAAAACAGATAGGGCATTTGCCTTGCACGCAGCTGACCCAGATTCAATCCTTGCCATCCCATATAGTCCCCCGAGCACTGCCAGGAGTAACTCCTGAGTGCAGAGCCAGGAAGAACCCCTGAGCATCCCCGGATGTGATCCAAAAAAGAAAAAAAAAAGTACCTGCCTTGCTAATGCAAATCCAAGTGTTTGATCCCAGTGACACCCACATATGCCAAACACAATTCTGGTCATGCCACAGTGTATGGGATCTCTAGCACACTATATCCAAGTAGTTTGGTTGTGTGGGAACCACAACCAAGATGTGAAAGCTTTGCAAGGATCAAAACCAAAAGTTGTGTGAGGGCCAAAGATTATAATATGGGGATTAAGGAACTTGTCTTGCATATGGTCGGCCCAGGTTCAATCCCCAATACCCCACATGGTCCCCTGAGTCCCACCAGGAATGAGACCTGAGCACAAAGCCAGGAGTAATCCCTAAGCACTGCGGGGTGTGCCCCCTCAAAAAAAATACGTTTAGGAATAAGGATCTGGAGAGATAATCCAGGAGGTAAGGTACTTGCCTTGCATGTAGTGGATCCTGGTTCAATCCCTAGTGCCACATATTGTTCTCCAATCACTACCAGGGATTATTCCTGAGCACAGAGCTACAAACAGTCCCTGAGCACCACTGAGTCTGACCCCCAAAATAAACAATTCTAAAAGACAAAAATTTGGGCTGAAGTGATAGTACAGCAGTAGGGCATTTGCCTTGCGCGCAGCCGACCCGGGTTTGATTCCCACATCCCATATGGTCCCCTGGGCACTGCCAGGATTAATTCCTGAGTGAAGAGCCAGGAGTAACTGCTGTGCATTGCTGGGTGTGACCCAAAAAGTCAATAAATAAATAAAAACAAAAATTTGGCATATCCATATAATGGAAAACCACTAAGCAATAGAAAGGAATAGATGATTGGTAGGTGCAATGACATGAACACATATCAAATGCCAAGTGAAAGTAACCAATGATAAATAAAATAGAATGATTCCATTTATATAAAATTCTAGAAAACGCAAATGAATAATATATAGTGGTGGGAGGTCAATTAGGCAAGTTGATGACAATGAGTGCTACAGAAAAGACAGGAGGAAAAGTGGAGGTGATGGATATGTTTGCCATCTTAAATGTGTTTATATCGAGGCTGAAGCGATAGTACAGCGGGTAGGGTGTTTGCCTTGCACGCTGGTTACCCGGATTCGATTCCCAGCATCCCATATGGTCCCTCTAGCACCGCCAAGAGTAATTCCTGAGTGCATGAGCCAGGAGTAACCCCTGTGCATTGCTCAGGGTGTGACCCAAAAAGGAAAAAAAAATGTGGTTATGTTTTTTGTAAATAGACATAGACTAAATACATTGATCAAACTTTGTCCAATTGTACAATTTTAAAAGATAATTCTTTAATATGTAGAGCTTTGGGGGGGCTGGAGAGATAGTATAGCAGGTAGTGTTTGCCTTGCACTCAGGCAACCCAATTCAGTCCTATGCTTAGCACTCCATATGGTCCCCATATGCTCAGGAGTAAGCCTTGAGTACTGCTGGGTGTGGCCCAAAATCCAAATAACATTAATAGAGATTTTTGTTTTGTGTTTAAGCCACACTCAGTGTGCTCGTGGTCTCTTTCAGCTTGGTACTTGGAGGTCCCAGTGTTCCAGCTTACAAGATATTTACTCCAGTCCTTTGCCCTTTCTCCTTGGCCCTTAAATAAAATACTACAAATAGGGTTGAAGCAGCCTGTAGAAATATCACCATAACTTAGTGTGTCTGCCTTGAACTTTATGTTGTCCTAAGTTCAAATCCCTGTGTCCCACATGTGAAGAGCATGATTTGATCCTGGTATTGATGCTGTCTGTGATCCCTGGCACAGAACGTCTAGCTGCACCACAACAAGATATCTATGAGCAACACAAAAAAGGTGCAACTATCCAGCATGCACTGCAAGTAAAAGAAGTGTGACTATAGAGGCAAGCAAAAAGTGTCCTAGTGCATTCTATCTGTATGATTGTAGGAGTCCAGATGCAAAACACGGAAGTGTTCCCTCTGAATCCCCAAGGGAAATACAGGGGAAAAATAAAAAATGTATGCAACTCAAAGTTGTAAGCAGTAAAATCCTGTTATATGCCAAAAGAGACTCTTTTGGGGGGAGTGGAAGGGCCGCATTCCCGGCTGTGTACTCAGGGATCACTCCTGGAGGTGCTTGAGGGACCATTTGGGTTGTCTGGGATTAAGGTCAGCTTCATGCAATGTAAGGGCCCTACCTGCTGTACTATCACTCCAGCACCTTCAAAAGATAACTCTTAAGAATTTACAATTGGAATTAGTTCTCTGATTCTTGCCTGATTGCACTTATAAAAGTGTTAAGGCTAATTATTAGAAGCCAAAAATTCTTCACAAGTAAATGCATAAATATGAGTGCCATGGCCATAAAATGGGACTCTGGCAAGCATGTTTGCGAGCACCATAGAAAACCCAATGGGAATCATAACTATTTCTTATAGGTCTCAACTAAGAATGAAAGCCCCAGCAGGAGTCATAGTACAGCAGGTAGGATGCTTGCATTGTATGTGGCAGATACTGGTTCAAACCCTGGCATCCCATATGGCCTCCTTTGCACTACCAGGAATAATTCCTGAGTACAGAGCCAGGAGTAACCCCTGAGCATTACCAGGTGTGGCCGCAAAATAAAACAAAATCAAAAAAGAACTAAAACTTTGGTGAGCACATGGACTGGTACTACAACTGAAAAGGAGTGAAAACCCACATGAGAACCATAAATGAACATGCGAGCACCACAACTTTGTTGGTGTGTGGTGCGTGATTTCCAGTAGCATCTTAACAACAAATGTTCAGGGGCCGGAGTGATAATACAGTGGTGAGGGCATTTGCCTTGCATGCAGCCGACCCAGGTTCAATCCCCAGCATCCCATACGGTCCCCTGAGCCATATCCCCTGAGCACTGCCAGGAGAAATTCCTGAGTGCAGAGCCAGGAATAACCCCTGAGCATCACCAGGTGTGAGCCAAAAAAAAATGTGCAGACGAAATGAGCAACCCTTATTCTTCACAACTAAATGAAGAGGGGATTGAAAAACAACAATAAAGAGTTAAAGCTACATACTGTCCTCCCAGATACTACTGCCCTTACTTCACTTCCCAAATGACTTCCACCTGAATTTGAGACTTACCATTGCAATGCATATCTATGTTTAGATCATATATTAATATCTATAAATAATATGTTGTTTATTAATATCCATAAATAATATCGCTGGAGCGATAGCACAGCGGGTAGGGCGTTCGCCTTACAAGCGGCCAACATGGCCGACCCGAGTTCGATTCCTCCGCCCCTCTTGGAGAGCCCGGCAAGCTACCGAGAGTATTCGATATGCCAGACACAGTAACAACAAAGTCTCCAATGGAGACGTTACTGGGCCCGCTCGAGCAAATCGACGATCAACGGGAGGGCCTTTACCTTTACCTTAATATGTTGTTTTGCATATTTTTATGATTTTATAAATTATACACTTTGAATCTATTTCTCCAACTTGACTTTGTGTTTGTGTGTATGTGTGTGTGTGCGTGTGCGCAAGCCACACCCAGAAGTGCACAGGGTTTACTTCCAGCTCTGCACTTAGGAATCACTTGTGGCAGGACTGAGGGATCATATGGGGACTGAACCTGGGTCAGCCTTTTGCAAAGCAAGCAGCCTCCCAACTGTACAGTCCCACCAAAGTCTTTTTCTGCAGCTACTGAGAGTGTACTTAATTCTGTGTCATACTCTGTATCATTCTGGCTCTATACTCAGGGATCACTTCTAGCTGTGCTCAGGGGATCATACGGGGGTTCCGGGGTTCAAAACCAGGTCGGCTGCATGTAAGGCAAAAGCCCTATCCACTGTACTATTGCTCTGGCCCCATCTTTAACATTATTATTATTATCACTATTATTTGCAATGCCATGGATGTTTTCCATCTAAAACCAGGCTTCGCATGTGCAAGGCAAGAGCTCTACTGCTGAGTCATATTCCTAGTCTAACACTTATTCTAACTCTATGAAATGCTTTCTAAATGAATATAACTGGCTATATGATAGCACAATTTTAATAATGTGGGAGTCACCTATAAAATGTTTTTTAATAGTTCATTGACTATGAGTACATCAGACTCCACTGTGGAGCCTTATGTTTATATAAGAACTCTCTCTGGCTATTAATGTTGAGGAGCAGATTTCCCTCACGGAGAAGTGAAAAAAAAAAAAGCAGGAAGCACACAGAGGTAGCAGGCTGGACCTGCCTCAGTGATCAGCAGCATTATGCAGTCATCATCCCTTTTGTCACCTAGCAACAAGCTGAACTCCTGAAATTCTCTTTCCTCACTCAGATTTAGCCTCAGAAGATAAAAGGAAAGTTTGCCTTTTCTTCTTCTTTCCTGGAAAGATGCAAAATGATATTATAGGCTCCTGGGTAAGAATGCATTAAATTGCTAATCCTGGCCCCTGTCCCTGGGGTAGTACCTGAAATTTGAATAAATCACGAGAGTAAAGCAATAAGGCTTCATCCAGCGCTCAGGCTGCTTGGAGCACCTGAACTGTCCACATCTCACCCTGACATCCTGAGGTGACCCCTGGAGCCTTAACTACTCCTTAAAACCCCTTATACTCATCAACCTCTAAGTCTACTATTACTCAAGATATTTGCTTTATTCCCCATCTCAAATTTCTGGAATTTGACTGCTCTCTAGCCTGGGTACATCTTGAAGGACAAAGACTGTTTGCTTCCATCTGTATATCTATGCCTAGCTCCTTGCCTGGCATGTAAAAATGACCCAGGAAATACTGCTAAACTAAACAGAAGAGAGAGCAAAGGCTATATGACAGAATTGACAGAGAAGCTGGTGACCCAAATCTTTGATGGGATGAAAAGACAAGGGGACTCCCACTCCTATTTAGGATCCCTTGTGAAGCCTGCTCTGGACAGGTTCTTTCTTTTTTTTTTTCTTTTTTTCTTTTTGGGTCACACCTGGCAATGCACAGGGGTTACTCCCGGCTCTGCACTCAGTAATTACCCCTGGCAATGCTCAGGGGACCATATGGGATGCTGGGAATCGAACCCGGATCAGCCATGTGCAAGGCAAACACCCTACCCGCTGTGCTTTTGCTCCAGCCCCTGGACAGGTTCTTTCTACGCAGGACTATAATTATGGTGACCAGATAGGCCTGCAGTCTTTAGGGAGCTCTCAGGAAGAGTTTGGGCTCTGAATCTTTGCCTTTGCTGTTCTACTGTGTAGCTCCTCAGTTGTGACTAAAGAAATAGTACAGGTGTTAAGGCACTTGCCTTGCGTGTGGTCAGCCCTAGTTTGATCCTCAGCATACAGTTCCCCAAGTATCACCAGGAGAGATCCCTGAGCACCAGGCAGGAGTCCCCTCCTCTCCCAGCAAATAGCCCTGTCAGGTGACCCAGCAGAGTTGAGGATGGGAGAAACTCTTTGACTGGCTCCTCTGCAGAGCTGTGCTGCCCCCTTGTTCTTTTTTTTCTTTTTTGGGTCATACCCAGCGATGCTCAGGGGTTACTCCTGGCTCTTCACTCAGGAATCACTCCTGGAAGTACTCAGGTGACCGTATGGAATACTGGGGATCGAACCTGAGTCAGTCACATGCAAGGCAAACTCCATCCCTGCTGTACTATCACTTTGGCTCCTCTTTGGTTCTTCCCTGGCCTCTGGACCCTAACTTTTGGGACTGATGGGTGGGCATTTGGATGGGATTCACCCTCCTGCCTGCCTTATTATAGTACAACAGTGGATTCTATGGGCACTACAGAGGTCAGTTCAGGAGTGATGGTGCTCGAGAATATCGCCATGCAGCCAAGCCGCAGCCTCCAGAAGTGTTTCTGCAACGATGTCAGGTACAAGACAGCCCTTGGGGGTGGGGAAGACAGGGGGATGCTGAGCAGGTTTCTGCTCCTCTCAGATTTCAAAAGCATCATCCCAGCCCTACCACAACTGAACTGACAAATGAGGCTAACCTTTCCCCAGGACACTCACGAGGCCTGGTTCTCCTCCTGAAATGGCAGATCTTCCCCCACAGAAGGCTGGCGAGGAGCCAGCACCAGACTGAACTCTCTTGCTCAATTCCTTCTAGAGGGAGGAAGAGTCAGATGAGAAGGTGATCCTGGAAAGAGATCCCCTCAAACTGTGGAAGGAAGCCTTAATTTTAGCCACAACTGCCCTCCATATTAGATTTCTTGATGCCAAGAAAGCCCATGGTCTAGTTGAACTTTACAGTTTGGAGGCCCAGGAATGAGTAGATGTCTTTGGTCAGGGAAGCAGTGTTGAAAGTGGCTTACTACCTCCCTACATGGCTGGTCAAGAAGGACTGGACTGGGATGATGGCAGAAGTGGCTGAAAAAAAGACTTCCAAAGAACAGGAGCGAGAGCTCAGGTCCTTCACTGTTTCCAGCCCGGAAACATGGAGGAGGCACCTGGATTTGTCTGTGTCCCAACAGTAAAAAGGTAAAAAACCCTTGGGGCTGGAGTGATAGTACAGTGGGGGAGGGGGTGGACGCTAGTGTCACATGTGGTCAACCCAGGTTGAATCCCCAAAACCTACTGGTCCCCCAAGCCCTACCAAGAGTGATTCCTGAGTGCAGAGCCAGGAGTAACCCTTAAACATAACTGAGTGTGTCCAAAAAAATAAGCCTGCTCAAAATAGGAGAACTCAGGAAAATGAAAATACGAAGGAGTATGTGTGGCAGCCTCAAGGAAAGGTGATCTTCACTACTCCTACTCTCCAAATGATTAGTACTTTTAGGTGAATGGACAAGGGGACAGCTTGGCTCTGAGAACCCTAAAGGTGAAAGAGATTTAAACAGGACCAGCCTCAGAGCAGTGGTGACCTCAGGTGGTAATCTCAGACAGAGAAACCCCCTCTCTCTTCTGCCCTCCACCCCCTTCCAGAACTTCACAGAGACCTGGGAAGTTAAGCCTGATAAATAGTAAAATTCAAGAACCTTCTGGGAAAGTGCAGAATAGAGGAGAAGGAAAGAACCCAGAAAAGTGTCTGGAACATACTCTGTCCACTGCAGCTTCCTTTTGTTTGTTTTTGGGGTGATAACTGACAGTGCTCATGAATTACTCCTGGCTCTGTGCTCAGAGATCCCTCCTGGTAGTGCTCAGGGAACCATATGGGGTGCCAGGGATCAAACCCAATTTGGTATTATCTCTCTGGCCCTGGAACATTGCTTCTTAATCTCTCCCCAGGAACAGAGGAACAGAATAGGAAACAAGTTTTGGGAAATGTTTTGATTGAAGCGAAGGCTAAAAAAGCTCTTATTAGCATTATCAGCAGCCCTAAAGAGCATGATCTGTTTGTCTTATTTGAGAGGAGGCCTCCCCTGCAGTGCTCTGGTGATAGGGGTCACTTCCAGCAATACTTGATCTAATGATTTGGTACTTCTCAGAGCCAGCAGTGCTGATGACCACTATGGCCACGCTCAGTGATATTTGGTGGACCCTATGGTGCTGGGGATTGAACTCAAGCCCGCAAGCATGTAAGACATGCACTCTAGCTCACTGAGCGAGTTTCCTGATCCATGATCTCTATATTTTGGACTCAGGTTGTATAAGTGCCAAGATGCCAAGTCTCATGGCTCTTTCCAGGTCTAAAACTGTTGTAATTAGACTTCTCAGGGAACACATTATATTTTCTTATTAGCTGAGAGATAACAGGTTTCAACTGGCTGGTTGTAGCTGTTGTGTTGAAAGGCTTCCAAGATGAGAAATCTACTTTCTTTACCTTGAGGCAGATAGAAATTTTGTTTTTGTCATTTTAGTGCAAGAAAATTCATTTCTTTTCTCTCTAAACAAAATTAATTTATTTCTAGCCTTCACCTTCCCACCTCTTGGGAACTGTAATACTCCATTCTATTTGTTTTTTGGGGATAGGGGGCACACCTGGCAATACTGAGGGAATACTCCTGGTTCTGCACCTAGGAATTGTTACTGGCAGTGTTCAGGGAACCACATAGTAACCCATTTGGCTCTGTGCAAGGCCAACACCCTATCCACTGTACTACCTCTCCAGCCCCTCTATTTATTCTTGAAGTCAGCAAGAGGCCTGGGGCTTGTGACTGGAGGCAAGTCATTTCTTGGTGGCTCCATGAAGCAGAGTGTTTCTGTTCCAATACTCCCACCCCACACCTCAGTGCAGCCACTCTCCCTTCTACACAAAAACACTGCTCCCTCTTCAGCGGAAATCCCAGCCCAAGCCCCACATTTATTAGGTCCATGCGTTTCACCACTCTGATGAGAAAGGAGCCCTCAATGGATTAGAAATAAAGATGCAGGTAAAATTCTCTCCAAGAATTCTCTGAACTGCCTGGGTTGGGAGGGAACCATGAACTTCTCCCACAGCTGTGAGAACAGAACTCAGATCAGTGGGAGTAAATAGATTATTCTGCCACTGTGAAAATAGTGGGTTTCCAAAGTCAGAACTGCCTGAAAACAGAGACATCCACTTTTTAAGTCTATGTATGGCTTTATAGCTGAAGATAGATAAAGGTGGGGGAGAAAATCGGAGGTCAATTAGAAAGTATCCCAGGCCCCCACATTTTCTTAGAATTAAGATTTTTATGGAGATCATTGTAGATCATAAGGAGTTATAAGAGAATAGCAATCACTCCACATTTATATTTTGCCCAATTCCCCCATATTTCAAAGCTAAAGTATAATGAATGGGTCAGAGAGTACAGCAGATAGGGTTCTTGCCTTACACGTGAATGAGCCAGGTTCGATCCCCCAGCATCCCATATGGTCCCCTGAGCACTGCTGGGTATATGAGCCCCCTACTAAAAAAAAAGCTACAGTATTATATCACTCCCAAGACTTATACACTGACGCTATATACTTCTCTTATTAAGATTTCTCCTGTTTTCCTTGTGAGTATGAGTATTAGGATCTACAAAATATTATTGGTACCAAGGACATAGCTCAAAGCACTGGAGTATATGCTTTGTATGTGGGAAGTCCTGGTTTCCCACTACTGCATGGTCCCCTGGGCCTTGCCAAGAACGATACCAAAACTAAAATAAACTGTTATCACCATATAGGTTTGTGTCTTCCCCAATCCTGTCAACTTCCTGTGCCACATCACAAGGGTTTCTGGAGTTGTTCCTTCATGATCACACTACCAGTCTCCCACTCCTCCACCCTTCTCACTCCTAGCATCCCCTTCCCCAATTTCTCTTCCATTTACATTCAAACTGCCACTTTAAAAAAATGTTCTAACTGGGGTCCAAAACATAGTACATCAGGCTGGGTATTTGCCTTGCATACCTCTGACCCTGGTTCAAACCCAGCACCTCATATGGTCCCTAAGCTCTTCCAGGAGTGATCCTTAAGTACAGAGCCAGGAGTAATCCCTGAGCACTGCTGGGGGTGACCCAAAAACAAAACAAAACAAAACAAAACAAAATGTTCTAGTCATGGGCTCTAGACTCCCTGAGTACCACTGGATGGGCCTCTATAAAAAAAAAAATCAGGGTGAATAAATAGTTTAGATGTTAATACACTTGCTTAGTTTGCAGCTGGGGCCACAACAATGTGTTGAAATTCTCCCACTACTTTTTTTTTTTAACACAAGAAAGGGAATTTTTAAAAAAAAATTTTATTAGTGAAACACCATGAGGTACAGTTGTAGACTTACAAATTTTTGTGTTTGGGTTTCAATTATACAATGATCAAATATCCATCCCTCCACCAGTGCCCATTTTCCACCACCACGGGTCCCAGTATCCCTCTCATCTCCCATCCCCCCCATCCCACCCTGCCTCTGTGGCAGGGTATTCCCTTTTGTTCTCTCTCTCCTTTTGAGTGTTGTGGTTTGAAAAAGAGGCATTGAGTGGCAATCATGTTTGGTCTATAGTCTACTTTCAGCATGCTTCTCCCATCCTGGGAGGATCCTCCCAACACCCTTTATTTGGTGCTCCCTTCTCTATCTGAGCTGCCTTTTCCCCTAGCATGTGTGGCTGGCCTCCAAGCCATGGAGTAAACCTCCTGGTACTAATCTCTGCCATTCATTCTTGGATGTTAGTCTCCTATTTTGTTATTTTATGTTCCCAGATGAATTCTGCCACTACTTATACCCCTATATACCACGAGGTATGGTTCCTGAGCATGGAGCCACATAAGACCTCTGGGCACAAGAACAAGGTGTGGCATAAGAACCAGGCGTTGGAGCCAGTGGTGCTCCCTGCCACCAAGAGAATAAAGAAATTAATGTTGGGAGGGAAAAAAGTATAGGAGTTAAGGTGCTTGCAGCAGACTTGGTCCCCAGAGCACCACCAGGAGTGATCCCTGAACACAGAGTCAGGAGAAGCCCTAAATATTGTTGGTTATGCATACCCCCCACCCCTAAAGAAAAGAAAAGAAAAGAAGAGAAAAGAAAAGAAATTAATGATATAAAAATGGAACTATCTTGTTCACAACGTTTGTGGACTGATCTTTTTGTTTGGCTGGTTTAAGGTCACACCCAGCTGTTATCAGATACTCCTAACTCTGCTCAGGGATCGCCCCTAGCAGGGCTAGGGGACCATATGGGTTGCTGGGAAACAACCTCAGGTCATCTGTGTTCAAGCCAAGTGTACTATCTGTCCACACCCTGACGACTGACATATTGCTCAGCATTATTTCCTAGAGATTCTTTCAGGTGCTGGAGCGATAGTACAGCGGGTAGGGCGTTTGTCTTGCATGCAGCTGACCCAGGTTTGATCTCAGGCATTCCATATGGTCCCCGAAAGCACCACCAGAAGTAAGTTTTGAGCTCAGAGCCAGGAGAAAGCCCTGACCATCACCAGGTATGGCCCCAAAACACAAACAAAAGTAAGAGATTATTTTAAGTTGTGTGTAT